TTAGAGGGGAGTTGGGGCGGGCATTACTTAGGCGATGATCGCCGAGCATGCGGATCGCAATTTGCCGTTGCACTTTTCGAATTTGCCTCTTGCACAGAGCAACATCATGGTTCCGTTACCGAGGCGGCGTTATGGCAACCACCGGATCTCCCCCGGTCTCTGTGCCTCTGAAGTTTTCCATTGTTTGCTTTTAATTTTCGACGTGCGAGTGCAGCACCTGAGGTGCAATTAAACGCGCGGCAAATTGCATTGCGATCACTCACTCAGCTAGCGGCTCGAAAGCACGCACTTAGCCAGGCTCTTAGCGGACACTGTGCTCCCGAAATTAATTCAAATCGAACGGTATTGAAAATCGTACAAATATTTATGTGGTAATAAATAATTAATAGTGCAAGAAGCCGCTTAATAAATATTTATAGATATTATCTTATTGAAACTGCAGCTGGTTACTACATTATAAAGAGCTTCTTAATATACTTTCACAATTTACATTTTTTACATTTAAATAAGTTTATAATTTTAAAATAAATTCTTCTTGTTACACAGTGTTCAATTTTGGAGTGCTGAAAGTTGGTGTCAACCGGGCTTTCTTTGGGCATTAATAACACCAGTCAATAATACCCAATGTGTCCCGAAGCTGGCACGCTCGCTTTGAATGTAATTAGGGTCACCTGCGATGGAGCCGAAGACGGATCTGGAGATGAAGATGGAGATGGACCATGGACCATTAGAGCTCAGCCACATTGGAGTCTTGACTTCGGGCCAAAACGAAGCGCCAAATGGATGCTGACAAATAACAGAGCACTAAGAAGGAGGCTGGTTAAACCTTTTTTTAATAGTCTTGCCCTATAAATATGTTTGCTGAAATGCACTGAACTAACTGGTATTGAAAGATTTCTTGAATAAAATTATATTTTAGATAAAAAGTACAAAGTAACACATAACATTAGTTCATTACAAATATTTTCTAATGAGCTTAGAACTCAGAATTTCAAAAACAATTTTATAATGAATTTTGTACTTTTTAAATTATAAGACTAAGAATAATAATATTTCTAACAGACAATAACTACAATAATTCTACCCGTGTAGACACCCATCAAATGACTCCATCAGTTGGTGGAAAAACTCTCCGTCTGTCTGCGCGAATTGGGTTAGAAGCATCGCATTGCATTGGCACCGATCGAATGAGCTATCGATGCCATATGCCATATGCCAGTGCCACATGCGTATGAGCAGAAACCGAGCAGATGCAAACGAGAGTATCGGGTATCGATGATGGGTCGTTCTGTCTTTGCCCGATTTTGTGCTATGCCGCTACTCACGATTACCGAGATGATGAGATGAGCCGTCGATGGCTGCGCCAATGTGGGTCGCCTGATGCGGCATGGAAAAAGTGTTTCTAGGCTGTTTCTATGGCTAATGTCATTATGCGACTCCCAGGTTAGATGGATGGGAGATGCGGTGAGAGTCTGGGTGCCATTTACTAGATCATTTTCATATTCAAATTCAATCTCGGCCACAAAAAACACAAGCAACTACCAGGAGCCTAAAGCTAAGGATGAGGAGGAGGCTCTTTAACAAGCAGCTGAAGATAGATACAATAATAGTGGGTTAGTAAAAACTATAATCATGATATGATCACTACACTGAGAATGAAAAATAATTTAAGAACTATTACCTAAATGTAAATGTATTACCTAAAATGTAAACATTAACAACATTATTTATACAATATTAAATTCTCTCTGGGAACCTTAAACCTCTTACCCATGAATTATTATTTATCATTAATTACTTTTAAAACTTCCTCTCCGTGTTTCCAACCAAACCTGTAATTTAATTAACAAAGTAAAGAAAAAATCAGAAAAGAGCAGCCTATAATTTTCTTACCGGTTCTCTAAAAGTTAATCAACAACTAAATATTAATTTTAAGATATAAAGTTGTATACTCTGGCTTTGCTTTTACGACTGAGAACTCTCAGCCTTAGCCCTAACAAAGGGAATACCTTATTTTAATTGTTAATAATTAGTAGCTAACTTGGATTAACCGCAATGTACTAAAACCAGGTTAAGTGAGCATGATAAATGATCTAGCTGTAAATCGGTGTCTCCGCCCTTAAGTAATTTATTCAGTCCAGTTTAGGACGGATGCCAGAAGGAATGGCTGGTTGTAAGCCATAATTTACAGCGATTAATAAACGTTTACTGACCATATAGGAAAGATCTTTGGGGAACCTTAACGGATTTCACCCCAGGGCTAACTTTTCCTTCTGCAGTAAAAGTAAAAGCCATTGCAAAATTTCACAATGCCAACAAAAGCCACATTTAATTGTCAATTGTGTTCATATCAAGTAACAAGTATGGAGATATTATAATTATAATATATAATAATATGTTTTCTTTTTTGCTCTACGTGCCAGCAAGAAATAACCATGGTTAAGTCAAATTAGACAAAGCTGTGATTGCGGTTGCGAGTTATAATTTCAATTACGGGCCAAAGTTGGCAGCAATAGTAGTTGGAACTTGGCGCTGACATCCACGGGTTAGCGGCGTTGAAAATGGGTTAACTGTCGGCGGGGACCAGGTGGATTATGTGGGGCGGCCGTGGGTCCATTAAGATGTTAGGAGGCTGCATCCAAGAAAGTTAATTCCGGTGCCGATCCAGATTTTACCTTTCCTACCTTGGGGGCTAACCAAGCCTATTATTTTGATTAGAGAAGCCGCAGGATTGGATTGATGGGCTTGTGGCAGGCAGAAGCTCACTCACTACACTAATAAAAATTTGCTATAAAATTTAGTTGTAAAGTTATAATTTCAACATATTATTTAAGTATTTAACAACCCCTCAGGTTTTATATTCCTTTCAAAAATACCGTGCTTATAATGACCATCAATAAAGTTGCTGCTAATTTATTATTATTTCTAAAGAAAGGAAGTTTTAAATATATTCTTTATTACCTTTCCGTCTGTGAAAGTTACGTTCTCGAATTACGTATATTTTGTATTAAAATAAAACACCTACCTGTCTGAATAAATTTGCACGACCATTATCTTCTTGTTATGGCATTCATTTGATGAGAATTCCCCCAACCAGCAACCACCAGCATCCTCTTTCGCTGCGTGTAGGCCGGTAATTACTAATTATTAATAATTTAATAGTTGGAAAATATGATAGAGACAGGCCAGGCAGATATAGCAGCGCTAATGATTGTCATTAAGTCGGGAGACCACGATGGAGCTGGTGCTGGAGGGCTGGAGGTGCCGCAGAATCTAACCGTTTAGTTAAGCAGCTGCAATAAATTTTGCCAACAAGCTAGGTTGGGCCCAAGTTGCATGGGGACTGCACGCGAAAACTTCCGCAAGCCTGGGCATCCGCCGAGTGAGTCCCCTCTAGTTGGTTCGCACCCGGGGTTTCCACGGCCCCCAGAGAGTGTCCAGGAAGTGGAAGTGACACATAGACAAGCCTGCATTGTTCCCAAATCCTTACTGACACACTGAAATTGTTTAGCCAACAATGTTAGCTTGCTCTTGACGTGGCTTGTTGCTCATTTGTCGCCATCTGCTGCCACTGCCACGCCGTTGCCGTTGCGCGCTGACTGATTGCAATCTCATTATGTTCGCCGGCAGTCCGACATGGGTTTCCTCTTTACGAGTCTGGTCGCAAGAAGCAGAGCAGAAAAATCCCGAGGCATTCCGAATTATTCAGCGAAAAGAAGAAAAAAAAATTGTCAGAGCAGCAGTAGCGGTTATACATTGTTTAACGCCAGTTAAATCGTTAGCCGTAGTGGGTGCTTCTTTCTGTTCTGTTGCGATTGCCATCTCTGCTCCATAAAAAACAATCAAGTCATTTACATTTGTGTACATGTATATTATCCATTAAATGTTCTAGGTATTAATACGTAAATACAACTTTTTTTGAGCGATGTTTCCTTCACTAAAGTATTGGCACATTTTGTTTATAATTCTCCCTCATCTAAAGTTATCCAAAAACGAAGACAAGAGTCTAGCTGCCACTTGTATCGATTTAGTTTAGATCAAAAACTGGGTCTAACTTTTCTCATAACTTACACAAGCAGGTCTTAAAACTAGGTTCAAGCTAATCTAAGTAAGATCTTAGCTAATGCAAAGTGCATGTTGTGCGCTCTTTAAGTCTAAAAGTCATTATAAATAATTTGTTATATTTTTGGGGCATTGCTGAAACCTTTAAAAATTTAAGAAGAATATTTTGACTTGCTTTTAAAATTTCGGGAACATTTTAAAATATTTATACTTTATATGAACAACCTTTTAGTGCATTTGTTGATTTATTTTTTAAGCAGGAGCCTCAAAAATTACTTATTCTAACAACGGAAATTTATGAAAATTAAGTTTCGAAACTTAATTGTTTGATAGTAAAATCTACTTAATAAATTCTCACAGGTTTCAGAAACGCCCTTAAAAGATCGCCTTTGTTAAAAACGAAAACAAGCTACCTTAGTCGATAGAAAGAAAAGCAGCTGCCAATTCTTTTTTTACACACTTGGCATATTGTCCACTCACAAATATAACATACACATATACTTGATATAAACTTGGCTAAATACAATCCATATACGATTTGTATAAAGTCCATTTGTAGATAATTTTTTTTTGGTAATTGACCTCCCCCCCTAAGAGATGCAAAGTATCTAAAAAAAAAAGGAAAACGTTAAAGCTAAAAGCAGCGGCGGCGGGTATCGTTTCGTTGCAGTGTTTTTGGGGGGATTCCCCTCTCGAGACCCGTTCACTTGCATAGTCAGCACTTGGGCGTGTTGGCCCCGCTGCTCACACTGCTCGTCTCCAGGTGCTGCATGAGCAGCTGCTGGAGATCCGCTCGCAGGGCGCGCTCCTCGTTGATCTGCAGCTTGATCTGCGACATGTCCTGCTGCATCTGCCGTATGGCCGTCCACAGCTGGCGCAGTGTGGGGGTCATGTCCTCGTTCTCTAGGCCTGCATTTCAATATATATTTTTTTTACGGTGGATAAAAGAAGATCGAACAGATAATAGAATACATGTTAGTGTTGTGTGTGAGATTGATTATGTGAGGGGTTTGTGGCTCAATGATGATGTAATAATGTTGATAGTGTAGGGGTTTATAAATATAAAGAAAACTTGAAAGGATGTAGGACAATCTAGGGGAGCTTGATGTGCAAGAATATTTCGAGGCTACTCTCTAAAAATAACTATATTAATTACTATATTAAAACACACACACAGAGACAACCAAAAAAGAGATTCGTCGTGTAAAGGATTTTATTCATTTTTGATTTGCTTTCGTTGAGTTAACTCTCTTTCTCTCCGCTCTCTCGATCTCAATTAAATTACAGTACAAACGTATAAACTGGTTAATAATAGATTATAGTAGTAGTTCATTTGGTTAGACAACGTTGCTTTCACAAAACACTTACAAAATATCTAGGATTATCCCTTCGGTCAATAATAATGCACAACAGTAGTTTGTTTTTACTTTGATTTTAGTTGGTTGTTGGAACTAGCTAAGCCTAATCACTTGAAGCGCGACTAACTCCGCTTCATAGCACACACACTTTGATTTAGTTGCTTGTCTAGGCAGGTAACGGACACTTAAATACATATTTAGTACAACTCACTAGGCGATGTTCTCTTCAATTTGGTCTAGTACGCACAGAAAAACACAGATACGGTTTAAGCAAAGACCTTGCAATAACAAGATGAGTAACGGCGGCTTTCAGATCTCTTGAAATTGTATTCACTGTATTTTTACCCTCTTAACTAGAGAGTTGTTTTATTTTTTGCTAGCAGTACATTTTCCTGTCGTTATTCACCTTGTCATTATAAGATCTCTTGGCTAGAGTTACGAGTATTACTAGTAAACAGTTTAGGTTTAGGCTATGGCAATCAAGCTTTCTTGCATGGCAAAATTGTGATCCACTCTCGTGTTGGCCGTCTTCACAAAAAATATATAAAGTCTAAGGCCGTGGACGGAAAGTTAAAGCCCTTTCGTGTTGGCTTGCTAAACAAATTCCAAAAAATAATGTAACCAGTTAGTGGCAAGCATCTTGGTTCCCAAAAACATCAAATAGCAGCTCTAAAGAAATATAAATCTTTTTGCCAAGTCTTTTCCCCCCACAACTAGATTACACTTTAAAGTTATTAAATTAAAGTTACGATATATAAAACAATACAAGCTAAGCACAAATGTAGCTAAGTACAGTCTAAATGCAGTGGAATTCGCTTGATTAATTCTTTCAATTAATTAATTAATTTTTCTTAATTCAGGTTTAGTTCTTTTTTGTTGGCTTAGCAAAATCCACTGCAGAAACATCAAGGCGCATAAGCTTAAGACAGTTTGTACATTCATAATGAATACAAATTATTTGTCCATTCGTTTTTCTTGTATAAATCGATCGTTGGTCTAGAATCTAAGGCTTGTGGCATTGAAAGCTTTGCGCAGCCAAGAAATCAACTAAAAATTAATAAACATTTCGCACATTGAGCGCATTCAAAAGCAAAGCATCTGCATTTTGTATCTGTATCTGAATTTGAATCTGAATCTGGAGCAGGAGCAGCAGGCGGCGATGCGGCGGTATGCGGTATGCAGTATGCTGAGACTGAGACAGAGGCTGAGACTGAGACTGAGACTGATACTGAGGATGCTTATGGGGATGACTGATGACAGCATGATGTCTCCCGACTCCCCGACTCAAAGATGGTTGATCTTTCGCCACTGTTTCATCACAAAATTACCGCAACACCAGCTCCCCGACTGCCGTTTGCTTCCATCGGCGTTAAGCTCCAAGTTTGCCGATGGACCCGCTCCATTCCCCCGGATCAGCTCTCGCTCCACATCACTGTCATCCGATCGTTCTCCGCCCGCCAACTGGGGTGTGCTCCTCTGAAGCGTGCTGGTTCTCAAGGCCCCGCCGCAGTTCATCAGATAGCCAGCTCCATAGCCCGCATAGCGATGCGAAGTGGAGGTCTCGAAGGAGCGATTTAGCCGGCGATCGTAGAGTCCAGGATGGCCACCGGGATTCGGTTTCACAATGGTGGTGGTCGCCTGGTTGTTGCCTGGAGATCGCTGGTACGATTGCTGTTGGGTTGCCACCAACTTGGGGGTCGGCTTGTTCTTTCTGGGCAGCAGCGGTGAGGTGCAGACATTGTCGTAGCCCGATCCAAAGCCACTTTTCAAGCGGTTCAGCGATTTCCTAGTGGCCCTCTCCTCCGACAGAGCTCTCTGGTAATCCTTGATGGAGGGCGAACCGCCGCCTGCTCCTGACAGGGAGTACCTCTGAGCTGGCGTGGCATTTAGGGAGGAGGACACCGAACTGGAGTACAGGTTAAAGTTGTTGGGACTGGCCTCGCGCCAAATGAAGGAGGAATTCAGGCTGCCGGCCGACTGTTGGCGACCCTGTGGAGGCTGGTGGAGATGCTGTTGCTGCTGCTGCTGCTGCTGATTGAGGTAGGGTGAGGTGCCAGCGGCGTTGGCTATAAAAGGCAGCTGGGGATTGGAGGTCGAGAAGGTTTTGCTCGTTTTCAGCTTGCCACCGCGGATGGGCAGACATGGAGTCCAGGGTTGCAAGGCTATATAGATCGTATAACGTTTCAGTTCAGGTCAGGTGTGGTTGGAAAGAGAGAGAGAGAAAAATGAAGAGATTTGAAGAAACGGAAAAACGAAATACCAACAGCGACAACCACAGATGCGGGGGATACATCGAAAAGCGAACCAAAACCGAACGTAATAGAAGATCACAACATGGTTACAAAGGATGAATTAAGCAGGAAGACAGAGAGAGGTGGAATGTGGGGTTTAACGACGACAGCAGGAGGAACAAAATAAACCAAAACAGAACCCAAAGCCAAAACAACAGAAACAGGATCACAATACAAATACAAATGAGTCTTTCAACCAATCCGTTACCAGTTACCAGTTACCAGTTAGTGTGGATTGAATCAGGACATCGGGATGAATGAGTTACAAAGAAGTTAGCCAAGGACCCTGGCCATATAACTAATATACAAAAGCAACAGAATGTGAAGCATGACTGGGGATAGTGAGAGAGATAACGACATGGAAATGGGAACAAAAATGGAAAGGAGAATGGGAATGGGCTCAAAAATTAAGTAGTAAAAATTAAACTAAAATATTACATGGGTTTTTTTAGTGGGGTAACAAATTAATATATTTATTTAACGTAAAAAAACGAATTATTTTCCAATTTGAATACAAGTTTAGAGTTCCTTTGCTTGGCAGAGTTTCGAGAGTTTTGTGGATCTTAAAACAAAATCAATTTGCCAATTGCACAACTAAAAATTAATTAATTTTCTCTTAAAAATAAGTTGTTTTGGTAACATAGGTTAACAATTTTAAGCTTACAGTTAAGTGTTTTGGTCTAAGCCTAATACAATATAATCCTGGTTTAATTTAGATGATTTTTCTTTGTCTGGTTTAGTGCAACGTTAAGCTTCAAGTGTTAAAAATGAATAAAAAACCATGAAATAAGGACCAACAAATGATAAATGGTTCAGCTTAGCACAGCTTTGGGGACTGTGTGTGTGTGTGTGTGTGTGGGAGGATTGTACAGCTGTGTATGTGTGTGTGTATGGTAATAAGCAATTTTTCCAACAATTTTCAGCTTTTGTTTTTTGGTTCGTTCAGCAAATGATAAATAGAACTTGATTCGGGAGCACATGGACAGTCCTTACAGCTAGATGCAGCACATCTGGGATGGCCGGTGCCACTTACCCGAGTGGATGGTGTTCCTGGCACTGTTCTGGTAGGCGGCACAGTACGCTTCAAACACGCGCAGCACCAAAGCGTCCTCCTCGTAGGTGGGCTGCTGGTTCTTCCTGCCGCTGCAGTAGCTGGCCAAAGCATTGCTGGAGCTACTGCCGCTACCGCTCCCACTGCCGCTTCCAGAGGAGCCGCTGGTGGCGTTCAACAAACTGGGCCGCAAGGGCGGCGTGGGACGCAGGCAACTGATGGTCCAGTTAGCTATGGAATGAGGCAGGTTAGGGAACCATTTATGAATGCTGATAAACTCCTTACCCTTTGTGCTTCCTTTCCTTGCGTTTGGCCCCCCCGCTGCCGCTGCCACCGCTGCTGCTGCCGCTGCCGCTGGACTGCTGCCGTCCATGGCTGACCCCAGGGCCGGAGCTGCTGTCTTGCTGCTTGGTGTCTGGACTGAACTTGATCTGGGGCCGGCTGCCCCCAGATGACTTGGCAGACTTGGTGGTTGTGGTGGATGCAGATGATGTGGTGGAGGCTGAGTGTGCGTGTACTGATTGTAGCTGAGGTGATGGTTGAACGACTGGCTCCGTTTGTGTTGTGACATCGAGTTGGTGGCCGGCGAGCCCTGATGGCTGCTGCTCCCGCCGCCGCTGTTGCTGCTGGCCTGAGGGATGTTGCTGCTGGGCGTGGCCGGCAGACGGCCTCCGGGTGGCAGCAGCAACACGCTGTGGTTCGATGGCGGCGACATCTGCAAAGGATAAACAATAAACAAATTAAATTAATATCTAATTTTATTTAATTTAAATTGTTTAAGTTAAAGTTAGTTTAATGATCAGAAAGAGAGTTGAAATCTCTCTGCGAGGAACCGCAATAACAGAATAAGAGTAACGTACAACGGCAGGCACAAGTCCTTCAGGCAAATCCTGCAGCGAGCAAAGCGCAGCAAGCAAATCGAATCGAATGCGTTTGTTTGTTTTTTTTATTGGTTTTTCTTATTGATTTTGGTTTCTTTTTCAGTTTCGGTTTGAATTTTGTGTCTTTGCTTGAGCGTTAGATAAATGTTTTGTAATTCGTTTAGCTTTTAAATGGGAATGGGAACCTCAATTCTAAATCACAACATCAACAGTTGCAGTGGAGGGAGGAGGTAATCTTATTTAATTCAGACAGTTTCGCATTTTGTCTCTCAAAATAAAGAATTGTAAAATAATTATTAATTTTTAAATAAAAGTTAAGTAATAACTCCTTTTTAAAAATTTAAAATATTTTATTTTCATATTAATTATAAAAAAATGTATTCATTATTATTATTGACTTTTAATAAAAAAAATTTGTTGAATAATTATTAATTTTTAATTTTTTAAATAAAAGTTTTGAGTAATAACTCCTTTTTAAATTTTAAAATAGTATGTTTTGTAAATAAAAAAAATTATTAATTCTAATTATTCACTTTAAAAAAAAAAAACAATTGTAAAATAATTATTAATTTCTAATTTTTTTAAATAAAATTTTTTTTTAAAATAAAATAAGTTGAGTACGACTCTTATTCGTAATTTTTAAATAATATTTGATCTTTAGATTTCGTTTATGTTTGTTTGTTTTCTTTATGAAAACAAAGCTTTACTATACAAGGCCACCTTTATGTTTTAAATATATTTATGGTATTTAAATAAAATGAAATTTAGGAATTAAATAGTGACTTTCCATAAAAAAAAACACCCGTTTTAAAGCTAGAAAAAATTATTCTTGAAAGTATTAATGCCAAAAATGTAGTTAAATATAAATTCCTTTTAAAAACCCAACTAATTAGTTAACAATTTCCTTAATCTCTTAGACTTTCTCCCTCGAATTCCCCTCTGGATTTAAATGAACTCGCACTGTGGGTTAGTCAAGGATGTACTGATGATGAGGAAGCATGGTGTGTCTTTTTTTTTGACGTGCTGCATTTTGGCCAAATGGTTTGCTGTGTTTGGTCTTTGAGCATTAGGAGATTTTGTTTATAAAATGTGAGGAATATGAGAGAGCAAAACGAATTTACAAAACAATCAAACGGAACACGTGCACGGAACAAACGCTCGCCGACCAGGCCACCTGGATCCGAAAGGAGACTCCCTCCAGGCCACCTGGCCGGCGATTCATTTCGGTTTGCTTGCCTTCTTCGGCGCCGGAGGTACGAAAGCCCTGGCATATGGGGCAGTCCAGCGAGGAGGAGTCGTGGATCGAGGCGATCATGCCCTCGTCCTCGCTGCACAGCGGACAGCTGGAGGTGGTGGTCGCTGTGTTGGTGGTGCTGGTGGTGCTGCCCTCATTGTAGCCATCCGCACAGTTCTGGCAGACGGAGCAATACAGGGCGCCCTCGCTGTAGCCGCTGGCTCCCATCATCGAACAGAAGCAGCTGGAGCACACCGAGCCCGAGTCCTTGGAGTCCTTCGAGGGCAGGCTCTTGTTGTAGGCGTGGGCTATGCCTCGCACCACCTCCGGCGGCAAGCGCTCCTTCTTCCACCAGTGGGCATACATTCCCGACCGGAAGGTGGCCTGCGGTCCCAGTCGATCCGTGGAACTCGAGCTGAACAAGAGATCGCTGGACGGTGGATTCCGGTTGTTCTCATCCAAGCTGGAGCTGGAGGGCAGGAAAATACTCCTCGTGTTGACCTGCACCTGGGCAGAGCTGATGCAGGAAGAGTCCTGTTTGCGATTGGTGGGCGTGGTGGGGTCATCGGGAAGCTGCTGCTCCTCCTCCTCCTTGGGATCCACCTCCTCTTGTGTGGCCTCTGGCGTGAGAAACTTTTCCCTAAACATGCCGCACACATCAAACCTCTCCGGCTCCACGTTATCGAGCATATCCTGACCTGCGGCCTCCATGGGAAAATAGGATTCCGGGTTGGGAGGATCCGGAGAGGTAATGGTGCAACTACCAGCCATTCCGCTATCGCTGGATCTAGGGCTGGGACATTGCGAGTTCTCGCAGCATCGGCACTTGGTGTCCAAGTGGAGATCTGGATCCCGGCGATGTGGCGGAGGCGGCGGTGGCGGTGGGCGATTGGACATCTGCATGAATTGGTAGCTGATGCAGCGCCTTATAGAGTCCCTGCTCCTCTCTGGCGGTAGATTCCGCTTCTTGGAGGCCGTTTCTATGCAGAGCTCGGTGGTGGAACTGCTTCTGACAGCGGGGTTAGGATCTGCCTTGGGATTACCCGTCGAGGGACTGTCACTCTTGTGGGAGGCCCGCTTGTCCGAGTTCAGATTGTGACCCTGAAAGGGTGTCTCCTCCCGCTTCAGCTCTAGGGGATTTGCCAGGGCTTCCTCGTAGTTGTAAAGCAGCTCCGCCTGGAGCTTATCCGGAGCAGTGCGACAGGCTGCTGGCAGGTCCATGGAACTCGAGTGCAACTCCCCATCCTGCTCGGCATCCACACTTTGCTTCTGCATGTCCTGGCGATCTCGCCATGTGGGCACATAGACCTCTGTGTTTTTACTGGCATTGAAGCGATTTCCCACAAAGATGGTGGGCATGCTGTGCCGTTCGGTGGGCGAGGCTGGGAGTGGAGTCGGCGGCTCTGGGACGCTAGCCTCCCGGCTGAGATCATCGGGCATGCTGGCCAGGTTCTCGCAGGCGGTAAATGCTCCACCCAGTCGAGCCATATACATGGAACTGGCATCGGAACTCTGCTGCTGCAGTGGCCTAAATACCGAAGGAGGTACCTCCTCCTCCTCCTCCACACAGTTGGTGATGCTGCCCCCGAGGCCCAGTTCTAAGGTGGCCGTGGAAGTGTGAACACTGGAATTCCTATTGGTGGACTTGCGAGCCAAGGCTCTGAGGGCCCTCGATCCAATGATGAGCGATTCCTTCTTCAGCTCGTTTTGGGCCAGAACCTCATCAGCGTACAGGGAATCCAATTTGATGAGATTAATGGAGGAACAGTGCCTTCGGCTGCCGGTGCCATGGTCCACAAATGTGCCCGCCGAATTGCACATGGAATCGTTGCGCTTGTTCTGGTAGAACTGCACGTACTCAAACGGATCCGAGTCGCAGGAATGCAAGAACTCATCCTCAAGGTCATCCTCGAAGCTTTCCGAGTCCGTGGGCAGCTCAATGGCATCCTGCCGCTCCAGCTCCGACTGCCCTGAGTCCTGATTGGCGGCATTGAGATCTTTCAGCTTGGCGGCCGCCTTGTGGCAGCGCTTCTTCCTCAGCGCTATTTGCTTGAGATCGATGCTCTGGCGAGCCTGCGGATAGAGCAGCATCTTCACGATGGCGCTCCTCAAGTCCCCCGCCTTTACCAGCCGCGCAAAGTGGGCACTGAGGTTGGCATACGGGGCTGTGGGTGGGTAATTGCTGGGCGGAAGGGTCAAACGAGGACGCAGCTGACCAGGTGGACTCGAGTAGTAGGCACACAGCGAAAACCGCGTGCAGTAGCCCCGCGAATCCAAGTGCTGACTCAGCTAACCACGCAAGAATATTCAAAATGATGCAAGATCAAGGGGATAATCTAAGGTACTTACATGAGCCGCATTCAGGTGTCCCACCGAGGAGTTGCTCAGGTTGCTTAGCTGCCGCTTGATGCCCATCGGCAGGCTGGGATTGTTGGCATTGAGCAGCTCCACCCACTTGTTGGCCTCGTTGGGGCCCTGGCAAACAGCCACTATGCGATCGATCAGAGGACTGCTGATCTCAAAGGCATTCTTGATGGCATCCGTGTCCTCCAGACGATTTACAATGATCCCAGTCAGCGGCAGTTTACCCTGCAGAGAAGATTGGTTAGGTAACTCTTCAATCTCTATAAAAAAAAAACCACTCTCACCTCGTAAATGAAGGCACTCATTCGCTGACTCACGCTCAGGAAGAGCAACGTTTGGGGGAAGAGTACAAAGTAGCGATCGCGATGATCAGCTCCCACAGCCACGCTGCCCATGTGTATGATATCGCCCAGTGTGCTCAGCTCCTGGCCCTGCCAGCCACGCACTGGACCGGTCAGCACCTGCAGTTCCAGCTCCTTCTGTCGCCGCGTGGCCGAACAGGTGGCCGCTATATCCTTGTAAACAGCCACACTGCGCTGAGTATCCCCTCTGTCCGGATGGCTGCTCTCCATGTGCCTCTCCAGCTCCTGCAGCATGGCCGAGTATTTGTCCAGGCGCCGGAAGGGCTTCGAGAGACCCGTGGTGAGCACTAGTAAGCCGGGCGTGGCAGCACCCTGTCGCTCCATGTATTTTTCTAGGTCATCCCTGGGGGAAAAAACATAACGAAATCGATAAAGAAACAAACGAAACAGCTAAATGGAATTTCGAGTTCTATATTTAAAAAAATAAATGGAATGGAGAACTGATCTATAAATATTAATCCGAAATGATCAATAAAACCATTGCCGAAAATATTAAAACATTCTTTTGAAGGAATTTCTCTGAATCCAAACATAAATCAAGATCTGGAGACTATGGGATTTCTTAAGTCTCTAAATTTATAATGCCCATAAATTCTAAACATTCTCTTATTGATTTTGATTATTTATAAATGGAAACTCACTTGTATTTGTCCAAAATGACAATCGCCTTGGGATGGGCCGCACAGTAGGCCTGGTGAACCTTCTTCATCAACGGGGCACTGGTAAGAAATAGCTTTCCCACACGATCATTGCACTCCTCGATCTGGATGAGCAGATCCTCGTGGGTGCGCACAATCTCCACAAAGTTGCACATCAACTGGGCGTACTCATCCTGGCTGAGTCTGTTAATAAAAATCCAATTTAAAGAAGGAATTCCCGTAAGAAAAACCTAAAACTCGACTCACATTTGTGTCTGTTGCATGGGCTCCAGGAAATTCTCAAGCAGACCCTGCAGCTCGGCCACATGAGCTCGCTCCGAGTCAAGCAGATCTTTGAGCACCACGGAGCGGTACTCCTGGATCTCCTCCGGCGGCCGGATAGTCTCCGCCAGAGGCAGCTGCACCTTGCACTCGTTGACATAGTTGCTGGGAAACCAGCCAGTCTTGTCGTTCAGCGTACCCTCCCACCAGCCGCCATCCTCCCGCTGGGTGACCGTGATAATGTCGCCTTTTTGGAAGCACAGCTCGTCGTTGTTGCTGCCCATGAAGGAGTACTCCGCCTGCACCACCAGTGGCTGCTCCATTGTTGGCTCTTCAAGGCTGCTGCTGCGGGTCCGCTCTAGATTTCTTCAACTGAAACGATGGATGTTGAACTTGAAATATCAGCGGCCGGGCAATTTGTTCAATGGAACGGTCCCCCCATTGAGCAGCATATGTGAATAAATCCCAATACCTCCCCTATATAATGGCGCACCTACGCACTATTGCAATGATGAGCGCTCGGAATTCCGTTCTCTATTAGCCAAGCATTATAATGGCCTCCCGAAAAAAAAAGAGAAAAACACAGAGAAAACATTTTGAAAACATCTGGCGCGGCTTGTCGAGAAACGCGTGCGCAAGTTTCTTGACACTTTTCCGGCAGCCCCCTCTCCCCTTTCCTAGGATTTTCTTCTTTAACCAGCTGCAAGTGTCTGGAAAACTCGTGCGCGCTACACGACGATGGCCAAGGTCACCTAAGCGGCGCGAAAGCCATTCGAAAAATTGGGTGGGAAAATCAACAAACACAAAAATCACTCAGAAATTTCGAAATAAAAACATATTTCGTTTTAGGGCCGTTAAAAAAACAATCTGAACAACGGGACAGGCAACATATAAATCATAAACAACGACCATGTCGTGTACGAAGATATTTACGAGCCAGTTTTTGATGGGCTTGTTCGAACAATACTTTAAGAGATCAACAACGGATTCGCGATCGTAATAATTGAGCGAGTCACAAAACAACAGTGAAAATCGATGAATGTTTATGGTTATCGTAAAATGTTAAATGTATGACAACACTTTCGCTGGCGGAAGCTGATGGATGCGGTCACTCAGATCTTTAACGCCAGCCAAGGCCAGAGCAAGTGCATTCCATCCATGAAATCTGACAGCCATAAAAATAAGTTTAGCAAAAAGAGGGAAAAGCTTTTTGCGGTTTCGAGGTTTTGAAAAATAAATTAAAATGTGTCAACAACACGGCAGGGTTTCTGTAGTAATCAGTATTCGCTGACTAACTTTAAGATTCAGCTAATATTCCAGAATTCTTATATTTTTTTTGTATCAATCTTTCTACTTTTCTGAAACAACGCGATTCGACAGAGAGAAGGATGTGAGTCTCAGAGCTGGCTGGTAGTCTCGGAAAAGCGCCGAGTATACGGCATCGACTTCCACTTCCACGCCCGACGAATTTGTGGTCACAGTCCGAGAGCTGGGCAAATGTGCCATGCGATGGAAGGAGTGCGGCTGGTTTGTATAGTTGCCAAAACGTAGTTAGCTGGATATCTCCCCATCTTCGACAACCTGCATGTTATCGTGGTCAACATAGCCGTGCGGAGGAAATGGCTTGGCCGAATGGATTAGACTAGAAGTGTAGGAGCGATTATGACCACGTAGCCCGACAGCGTCATCGTCTTCCTCTTCCCATGCCGCCAAACGTTTCATGACGGTGCGACGCTTAAAATGGACTTTTCCCGCCCGGCTATCGTTACGACCAAGACGTGGCATACGGTCCGGCAGGGCCTCCTCATCAATGATCTCTCCAGACAGCGGCAGCAGCGACCGATTCTTCTTGCGGTCCTGTAACAGCTGGCGAGCGTCGCGTATTTTCCAGTTATCATCATCGCGTGCATCGCCTATCTTGGCACGCGTCTTCTGGATAATCTTGTTGCGGGCGTCAAAGGAGTGCATTGCCTGGAAGGGAGTCCTGTTGAGCAGCTTTCGGGGCTTTGTATAGCCTGTGTTGAACTTCTTGTTGGCCGAACGGCCGCCATAACCTGGCTTACGCTCTATGATCTCGTCAAGACTCAGGTCCATATTAATCGTCGGTGTAATGCGTAGCGTAAGGATTGTATGTATATGTATGTATATACACTGCGCGTCACCAGATTAGCGCCCCCCTTGGTGCTCGCGTTTGAAGTAAAATATTATCAAAACTATTAAAGATTGAACTGTACAATTATTATCCAATATAATTCGATTAATTCTCTAAATAAAAACATATATTAGAACGCAGTTGGTATTTGCATAGAATTGTATTAAATTAAAAACTAAAGAAACACGTTTATTTGGAAGAAAAAACTGCGTCATCAGATTAGCGCCACCTACATTAACTTAACTTTTTTTGATAAAGTTCTTACAAAATACTATCTTTAACAATTTTATGATTAAGTTTAAGCATTTTTAAGGTAATTTAATAATGGGTTGGTCCTCCCTTGTTTACAAGGACTTCGCAAACTCGATTGGGGAGAGAGTCATACAAGTTTTTGAGATATTCCAACGTTATTGTTGTCCAGGCCTGTTTTATACTGTGAATTAAATCCTCCTTGGTAGCATATTGCTTGCCAGCCTCGTACACCTTCCTAGCTAACCATCCCCAGACGTTTTCTATTATGTTCAGGTCTGGAGAGTATGGGGGCCACTCCAGGACACTGACATTTTCCTTTTGAATCCATAGTTTTACGGACCGGGCTCTGTGGATTGGGGCTTAGTCGTGCTGAAAATGCTATTTCAGATTTCCAAATAAATTTTTAAAAACGGGAAATGCAGTTTTTAGAACGCAATTGTAATTTTCCGCGTATATCTTTGGGGTTAAAAACTGCAGTTCGCAGTTGCCATAATAGGATATGGCTCCCCATACCATTACTCCTCCAACCCGACTATGTAAGCGATCCAGATGATGCTCTTCCTTGCGTAAATAGTGGAAATAATAATTATATCCGTCAGGACCCTCTAGGTTACATTTTTTTCGTCTGAAAATACGATGTTATGCCTCTCATTGGACCATGTCATATGCGTGTGAGCAAACTTTAGGCGGAATTCTGTTCGCACTTGGTTAAGGGGTGGTTTTTTTTTTAGTTTTAGCTTCTTTAAAGGGTCAGCTTTCTTGATCACCTTTAAAAAAGTCGATTTTATTGTCTTAACACAAGTTTTTTCTATTATTTTGGCGGTCGAGTCGTGGGAGTTGCACGCCTCTCGGGGTATAGCATTGCGATCTGCGGAACTAATAACACTGTTATTACCTCCTTTGTAGTTTTTTCCATAGCTTTTCTTATTTTGAAGAAAATTTCGCAATGGTTTTGCGATGTCTTCCCGTTTTTTCGGCGATTTTGTGAAGAGAAAGTCAACATTCATTGAACGCTTCGATTTTCGATTTTTCCTCCGAAGATAAGATTGTTCCTCTGCCCATATTGTGGGTCAAATTGAAGAAAAATGTTTAATTTAGCAGCAAACAAAAAATGGTTGCTGTGCTCAGCAAGTTAAGAAAGATATTTAAATTTACATTTTGGGGGCGCTATTCTGATGACGCAGTTTTTTCTTCCAAATAAACCTATTTCTTTAGTTTTTAATTTAATACAATTCTATGCAAATACCAACTGCGTTCTAATATATGTTTTTATTTAGAGAATTAATCGAATTATATTGGATAATAATTGTACAGTTCAATCTTTAATAGTTTTGATAATATTTCACTTCAAACGCGAACACCAAGGGGGGCGCTAATCTGGTGACGCGCAGTGTATATATATTCCGGGAAAACGGTTAGTTACCGTAGAAAACAAAAATTCTGCTGCGGTGGGAGAGGTGGACGAAACGTCAAAGACACATCCATATGGACTGTTTTTTCAGCAGAGGATGCCAGGGTTATAGCCAAAATACACAATAATAATGTAGAATTATTTTTGTAAAATTTCCGAAATCTACAGAGACATTGAGAAAATAAATACACGATATTAAATTCTCAATGTTCCATGGCAAACTGAAATTATCTATTGTATGTCGGAGATCAACTTGTAAAAGACAGAGAAAGTAAATTGTCGTCTTTATAAGCAAGTTGAGTCATTGGAAAAAAGCACGAAAGCCCAAACAGTTTAAATACAATTTGGCAATAAGTACAAAAAGTACATAATATAGATTCCATTTTAATGATAATTTTAATTTTAGTACACAAAAAGTTATAAATGCGGGAAACGTTATCAAACATTTCAAAGGCTGATAAATAAGGTACATGACATATATGTTTGATAAAAAATAGTTATAGTTATTAATAGCTAATAAAGGTAACTGATTGTTCCCTATGCAACCCCACATAAATTGTTATATTTTCTATATACTTTGAAGAACCCATATCCGTTTGTACATATAAATAGATTAATCACATTTTTGTGGTATTGCCGCAATGAGTAAACGCAAAAATATGAATAACATATTTTTATTTGGCCCAAAACAATTTTATTTTTTCTCCCGTCTGCTGGGATACTAAAAATAAAAAACCGACAAAAATATAAATCATGGCGACTAGAATCCCATATGGCTAACGGGAACCCTGGCTATATATCTTGATGAACCATTTGGAGGCTCTTCCGAATAGTTTGTTCCATTATTTTACAGAGAGAAAACACGCCAAGATGTCTAGATTAATTAGAGAATTTTCCCAAGAATTCAGACCGACAATATTTCCCTGAGGCAAGGTCACGTTTTGGGCTGCACACACGCATGAAAATGCCTTTAGATTGTCGCTTTTCTTCACCACTTGGCCACTTGAACACTTTGTGTATATATGTATAGTACCCGCTACAATATATAGGCATATAGAGACCGATGTATATATACTTTTTCAACAATAAATTGTTGTACGAAATTTTGCCGTTTTTCGCCGTTTCTGTTGCTCTCAGACGTTGCACCGCACGCGTTCATTGCTTCAGCGAAACTGCCGACCAGACGACAGAATACGAAAATACAAAAACAGAACGGAAAATACAGAAAAACCGTGGCGACAAATGGCAGCCGAATTTTCCACGGCAACATCGAAAGTGCCACTCTCTTCGTCTGGGATCGTGAGAGAATCCGTACATAGCACATGGATGTACATATATATCCGCACACAAGTACGCCGTATTCGAGCGGATACGTCGCGTATTTTCACAAAAAATCAACAGAGAAATGTGACAAAAATTATGGATCCGGGGAATCGGACAACCTTTCCATCTTGTGCCTCCAAAATGGGGGATTTCGGGGGATCGCATCTTAATTTTATTTCATTGAGAAATAAGCGACAGCGCTGCTGCTTCGTTCTGCTTTTGTATTGTGTTTTCAAAAATCCCATAAAAATATTTGTGCCAAGGTACATATATGTTGAATTCTTGTTGGGATGCGAAATCCTCCATAATGGCGGGTTTTGTGAACCTCTGCATATAAGTAGTTGTTGGTCAGACCACTTTGTGAATTTTTGTGAATTATTCACGAAGAAATTTCACCTGTTCCGTTCAGTTTTCTCGAAATACGTCTTATACGAAATGTGCATGTCTGAATCATCTCGTCTTTTTCAGCGACATGTCCATGGAATGTGGTTTCTATCACAGATTAGGCAAATAAATAATCTAGAATCTCGAGCTACACATGTTGCCATTTGGCATTGTGGTTTTTGATGTGATTATGACATTAGTAATGGTATAAACAAAACGGTTAAGCAGATACAAATATATCTAAAAAAGCTTTGTCGAGATTTATCTGTATCTATTTGTGTATCTAAGTATCTGTATCTATATCTATGTGTAGTTTTATGAAATTTAAGCGATATTTGATGTATGCTAATTGAGAGAAAGCGTTAACAATAAAGTATTAGCTGTCAATATATTTATATTTTTAGTAATATGACTTCTAGGGCCTACTCAAAACAAAGCCATGCATAAATTTGCATTCATTTCGATGGTGATCCATCTCTGACTCTGCTTTTCAATTGCAAACCAAAGGCAAACCCATTTCTATGGGATTTTGCGTAACCCTGAAGCCGCTTTAAGTCCATGGCCGGCAACAATCAAATTTCCGTAGGTGGATGGATGGATGCACTGCTCGGAACGATACCGGCAGAGGTCACAGCTACAGAGATGCCTAGATACAAAGATACAAACTCACACACACACGCGACACACCCCATGAAGCTCTCAGAACCAAAAGCTGCCACAGCACGAAATTTTAATTAATTCATTAAACTTGCACATGGCGCTGACGGGTGGAGACGACGAAGTGCAACCTCGCAGATACAAACGCTCCAACACAGAGATACATTGGGCCCACGCTCTCTAAATATACGATCTCGGATCTCTCGGATATTAACGATCTGTCACTGAAGACAGAAATCAAATGAAATGATGTCCTACGGCTTCCGGAAATGCGCAATTTGACGAAGAGAAACGTCTTGGTGCTTGGGGAAAACCTCAAATCGCGGACTGTTTATTTTTGGTGGGGCGACAAGAGAATGTAAACAAAAGTCGCTGTGTTTTTGTTTGGCTTTGTTCTTGGCCAAAGTCAGTGAAAGAAAAACAAAGTCAGGCAAAGCCAAACCAAATTAATGCAGTTCCCTAGCCGGTGGGATCTTGTCACGTCCGGATCGGCGGCTCCCTTCTTGGCCCGCAACCTCCTCTCGTGCCACTCGATTGCCCCTTCAATGTGTCAATACTGAGATTTACAGGCTGCAGCCAGAAGCCACAACCACTCGAGATGCATTTTCCCAAAAGATCTATGGACATAATATAATTTAATTGCTCCGCCGTATTTATAGACTCTTTTCATGGAGGAGGAAGTCATGGGGATGTGTTGTGTTTGTGCCTGTGGGCAGACAAAAGAGGTAAGCGCGTGGGAGTTCATAATTTGATTGGCTCTGATATTGGTCTATGCCACTTTGAAGTTCCCTCTCTGTGGTGAGTATCGCATTGCCGAGAACGAGGTCAACTGCGGGAAATATGAAGGAAATGCTGTTCTTTAGCATCCCCCCCCCATGGAAAATTTCGTGGCATGACTTGACTGACGGGCAGGCGTTTTGTTGTTTTCTGTGAAAACACAAACACAAACAGATATTCACGAAACGCTTTCAATAAAGCGCAAAAATAACAATAATAAGGCAGAATTCGAATAGTGGCGGAAGCAAGGTGGAAACGACTTTAGGGTTATCCTAGAATAAGTGATTTATATTTGTTTAAAATTGAAAGAATAAGAGTCTAAGGATTGGTGACTAGGCTAAACGTCATAAAAGTCCTACAAAGTCGGAATAATCTTCAAAATATATATCAGAAACCTTATCACTATGTAAATTATTTGTTTTGTAAACAAAATCTAAACTCCTATTGAAATAGCAGATTTTTCCAAGCTCGAATCTAAGACTCCAAGATAAACATAGAAAAGAAAGACTGCACTGCCTTCGCCTTTCATAGATTTTTTTTCTGTTGGCAGCCGTTCAAAATTTGTTCGGGTAATGATGCTTGTTGGTCTGGGTCTGGGATCCACAAGGGGATGTGGAACAGAGAACAAGCAGGGCCCGAAACGTGCTGAATGCTCACTTCTCTTTCGACGTCAGGCAGTGCAGTTTATTTTCCCAAACGAAATGGCCCTGGAGGAGGAGCAGCAGGCGACAGCAAACAAACACTTGCCCGGTCTGGGCCTGGGCCTGGGATGAATGCTATGCAGGGGCCACTGCTATTGACCCAATGGATTATGCAGCCGGGTACTACAACCTCAACGACCTCGTGGAGACGGCGCATTTGGGAGTTTCCTTGCAACAAAAAAAAGTAAACCCGGCAACAAGGCGGAAGTTGGCAAAGAAATGTGGGGAAGTACAGAAGAACTTCGATTGCAGTCACATAAAACATTCTAGAGTTTAAATTATTTATTTACTTAGTTTGGGAACCTGTACTGTAGATATAAAATTATAAAATTCTGTAGATATCAAAAAACCTTCAGTCAAAGCTAGACTCTAAAGCTTTTTCCCAAAAATAGTAAAAAAATATATATAAATTACACTAGTTATTGGCCAAAGAAGAGGTTTCCCTCTAAGGAAGTTGCACTGTGTGTTCAAGATTCACTCTATTTGGATGACGCATCCGTAGGAAGGGCGGCGTAGGCGAAAAGTGGCTCATAAGGGGAGGGTGTGCTCTCCTCCAGTGCCAGTGAACCCTTGGCTAGACGAATAATTGTGCAGAAAACCTGAGTCATGTCCCAGCCAAACTGTCTGGAGCCATCGCATCGCTTTAACATTTTAAACTCACCTTCAGCTGCGTTCCGTTTTAACAAACATTTGTTGCTCCGTTTGTTGTTGTTCTCGTCGAGGTGGTGGTCGTTCGTAGATCGAGCAGGAAATAGAAGAGTGAGTAATAGTGGATTTTCCTAGGCCTCCGCTCTTTTCCCTGCCACTCGTTGGTTTCGTCACTTTTCTTATGGTCGGGGCACCCTTATAATTATATACACTATTAGTTATATGCCAAGGAGAGCACGCTTTTCACTATATACATTTGTGTATATTGCAGGTAGAAACTGCCCGATTTTCTATTTCTGGTCGATGCAACGGCAATCCCAAAACGCCCGCAATACTCGTTTACTTTGGCTGCACTTGTGTGTAGTGCATTTAATACCGCCAGAGACGCCCTTTAGGTGTATTATGTACCTATTTAAGCACAATTAACAACACAATTTTCCCATCGCAAACATAAATAAAACAGCGGACGACCAAAATAGAAAAGTGATTGAGGTGTGACCGCAGCCTGTTACGCCTGCGACCCCAAAACGCCTTCTACTGCAGTTAGCTGGTCACACTTCGCTGCTGTCTGGCGGGAAATCGTTTTTTCGCTATATACTCCGGTATATGCCGATTTTTCTATATGATATATATACATAGTGAAGTCCCGTAAAGCGCGGCAGATAGTCCTAGCAAGTTTTCCTCGGAAAATGCGTGGAATTTTCCGAAAGTCAATCGATACCTTATCGATAGTCAACGTGTTCCGATTCCGCTTATTTCGCACATGCACAGTAAAAAAAAGTGTAGTCAATTGGAATTTAAATAATCAATTTTTTAGATATATTATTTTAAAGACAAAAAATGGTTAAAAACAGTAAAAACTGTAGTCAATTGATATTTATATAACAACAATTTTTAGAAAATTTATTTCAATGAACAAGCTTGTTAAAAACAAAAAAAATGATTAAATAAAAAATAATCCAAATTTTTAGAAATATTATTTTAAAAAATAAATTATTTAAAAATATTCTTTTAATATATTTTTAAAGTAGAAAATGCAGACTCAGCGAAAATAGAACCTATGGATAGTAGGATATAAAGATATTATAAAGATATTATTATGCATTTATTTAATAAAATCGCATTAAAACTAAATAAAAAAATCGATGTTATTAAATAATGGAAATATAAATAAATAAAATTAAGTTTCTTAATAAAATATATTTGTGATATTAATTATTAATAATTATCTAATTTTTTTTTAATAACTGAAAATATCGACAGCTGAAATAAATTGTTCCCTAACAAATGGGCTTTATGATATTTCCAATCAAAATCGCAGAGAAAATGAATAATAATAAAATAGATGTTTTAAATATATGTAAATAAAAATAAATATAAATATATATATATAAATATAAATTGGAAAAACAATTTTTTAAGGTTCGAAACTTTAGAAGTATACAAAATTTTTATAGTGTTTACTGATATGATACCGCTCAGTTTTAACGTTATTCTTCTATGTATAATATTTACAGGTAAATATAAATTTTGTTATATATATATATTATGATTGATATACCGATATATTTGGGAGCCCTAGTTCCAAGTTTGCGCATCACCATCAAAGCGTTTTGCGCCAGTGTTGGCTAACACCAAAAACTCACTCCTACCGCCGCACACGTGTTTGTCTCTGCACGTTAAATTTTCACATCTTCGCGAAATACCAATACCCACAATGGCTGACGTTGCTGTAACCCCGAGTGCTGAGGTCCAGGAAGAGGTCAAGAAGGCCGAGGTGCCGGCCGAGGAGCCGGAGGCCAAGAACGGCGCCGCCAAAGAGGAACCGGCCCCGGCGGCCGAGGAAGGCGGCGAACTCTCAAAGCAGGAGCGCGCCATTATCCGGCAAGTGGAGTACTACTTTGGCGACGCCAACTTGAACCGGGACAAGTTCCTGAGCGAGCAGATTGCCAAGAACGAGGAGGGCTGGGTACCGCTGACCGTGCTGATCACCTTCAAGCGCCTGGCCGCGCTGTCCACAGACACTGAAGAGATCTTGGCTGCGTTGAACAAGTCGGAGGAGGGTCTTATCCAGATCAGCGAGGACAAGCAGAGCCTGCGTCGCCACCCGGAGCGTCCCATTCCCGAGCACAACGAGGAGCGACGCAAGGAGATCCAGGATCGTACCGCGTACGCCAAGGGCTTCCCCCTCGACTCGGAGATGAGCGCCCTGCTGGACTTTGCCAGCGCCTACGAAAAGGTGGTAAACGTGACCATGCGCAAGCACTTTGACAAGCCAACAAAGTCGTACAAATTCAAGGGCAGCATCTTCCTGACCTTCGAGACAAAGGAACAGGCCAAGAGCTTCCTTGACCAGGAGAAGATCACCTACAATGAGCGTGAGCTGCTGCGCAAGTGGCAGGTGGATTACCTGAAGGAGAAGCAGGAGGAGTTCGCCAAGAAGAACGAAAAGCGCAAGAACAAGAAGGAGGCCAAGCCCGAGCCGGCCTTTGAGCTGCCCAAGAATGCCATCGTGGTCTTCGAGGGGGCCCCAGAAACTTCGACCCGCGAGGAGATCCGCGAGGCCTTTGAGAAGGTTAAGGACTTTGATATCGCCTACATTGAGTTCAGCAAGGGCGAAACCAAGGGCTCGGTGCGCCTGACCGAAGAGGATACGGCTGAGAAGTACATAGCCAAGGTGGAGGAGGGCAAGGTGAGTTTCGAATTTTCTGTAAAAGTTTCTTTAATCGATATTAATTTATTTAATTAATTTTTACAGCTCAAGTTCAACGATGAGGTCTCCCTGACGCTCCGCAAGGCCACCGAGGAGGAGGAGAAGGAGTTTCTGGACAAGGCCATTGAGTTTATGAAGAAGCGCCGCGATTTTGCCCGCAACAAGGGCAAACGCTTCAATCGCAAGCGTCACGGCGGCGGTGGCGGTGGCCATGACCACAAGCATCGCAACAAGAAGGCGCGTGCGGATTAACCTTATGCTTCCCAACCCGAGACCCCCTCTTCCTTCATGCTAAAACTGTTACTCGGTAGATCTAGTTATCTTAGCTTTAAGAATTAAGTACATATACTATGGCATTCATAAATGCTTTCCTGTAAGAGAGTTGCAGAAAATTCTCCAAAAAATATGTATAGTCTATTACATAGATAACGAGATGAACTCTTAATTTATTTTATATAGAACACTTCGAAATCAGTTTCCTTAAATAAAGACCAATTTGTAAACCCCAAAAAAGCGTTTCACAAATTAAAAAAATTACTTTCTTAATTGGTTTGTATCTTTTTATTGCTGATTTTATGTGTATTTTCTTTCTGTTTTTTTGTGTTTCGTGTGTTAAATGATTTTAAAGTAAATGTATCTTAAAAGCATAAAAATTTAATATATAAACTCAAGAGTAATTACAAGTATTTAAATGCATTTACAATTACGAAGAAAATAAACAAAAACATTGAAAAATTCTTTACAAAAACTATAATTAGGTTAAGCAGGTTAGGATGCTAGTACGTATTTTTTAATAATTAATTAAAGGTTGTTTGCTTTGCATCATCAGCTTGTACAATTACGAAGAGGTCACTTACAAATTAGACGCACTTTGCGGAGATTTAAAACTATATATGAATTAACTAAATAGTGTTGGTTGCATTGCAACGCCGACTAAAATTAAATTAGGCTATTAACTAAGTAGTGTTCTTGCTTTGTTAATGAGGGAACGAAACGAAAACGTAAACGAAAACTTCACAAGTGAACAAAGGATCTGCGCAAGCACATTATCATTTTCCTAACCGAAATTCTGTTTCTTCGAACTGGGTATGATTTTCATCTTATTATGATTCTTTATGATAATCTGGGAATATATAAACTCGAACCGTATAAATACGAACTTGTACGTTGGAGCTACGATGAGTAATCACTTAATCAACATTTATGCATAAATTAAACAGTTATAAACAACGGCTTTGTATTGCGATAATATATATAATAGCGTAGAGTGTGTATAGTTATCTCCTTTATATATATATATAGATATATGTAGCATATGTATGGTATGTGTGGTGGGGGTGCGCTCAAGCGGATCTCTCTCTGTAGCCGGCAGAAAATGTACAAAGCTTTAGCTTCCAGGAATTTATCGTTATTATCCTTTGCTTATTCACTAGCCTAACACGATTTACAAACGATCCTTTATCCTTTTAAAGTGTACAACAGTCCATTTGAACCATATCTTCTTAGCAAAAATGATTCAAGTGCGTTTCGGAGGCCATAAAAACAGTCGCAGAAATCAGAAATAAAGTCCGTTGTGGTTAATTATAAGTCATCAAGTCAATTGTCAGTCGTTACAAGTCCTTTGAAACTCTCTTTTATGGTCTCGAAACGCTTTGCCTTGTGGATCCTCTGTCGCCTATTTCCAGACGGGCGTCAGATCCAGGGTGAGATTCTGTATGGTGCGGTTGCGGGCCGAGCTGCGCTTCTGCTTCACAGAGCTGGTTATCTCGTTGACCAAGCCCTGGCAGTCGTTGCACACGGTGACCTGCTCGCCCCGCAGATTCTCCTTTTGCTCCGGCGTCTGGGCCAGGTGGCTGCCCGAGGAGAACAAATTGAAGCCCCTCGAGAAACGGGATCTGGCAAAAAAAAAAAACAAAATATATTAATTTTATATTTTGTATTTTATTCAAAAGCCAACTTACTTCCTCTCCAGCGTGCTGTTGTTGGAGAGCGGTCGATATGCTGGGCTGTGCACGGGCAGACTTCGTGGTCCCTCCATGCTCCGGGACATGGCATTGTTATAGTGCTGCCTCTGATGCTGATGAACTCCCGAGGGTCGCATGGCCGCTGAGTAGGAGGCCGACATGGCCGCCTGGTCATGCAAGGCCTCCACAGCCTGTCCAGGGGCGGCGGCTGCTGAGGCGCCGGGACCTACGCTAATACCAGGTGTGCTCATATTTGATCTTTGGTGCTTGGGTGAAGACGGGGCACTGCCCACAGTGCTGCGAGTCTGAAAATTAAAAAACAATAAAATTTTAAAAGAGGTTTCCATCTCCCAAGTCTTAACTCATCACCCACCTTACGATCTGACTCGGAGCGCAGGAGACGCTCGATCAGCGACTTGGGAAACTGGTCATCCATGATGTTCCCCGTCGAGGACGAGTGCGCCTGCTGGGCATGATGGGAGGGGGAGGGTGTGCTCGAGCTGGCCGGACTGGACAGCAGCGATGGTGAGATCAGCACTAGAGGCACGTTCCTAAAGTGCTCCGAGGGTATGCGCATCTGGAAAAGCATTTACAGTCAGCTTCCCGAAGCAAGAACGCTTAGTTTGAGACTCACCTTGGTGTAGCACTTGGCGCAGACTGTGCGCTGACACAGCTTGCACTGGATGCCCCAGGGTCCAAAGAAGGAGAAGCGGGTGCGCAGGCACAGGAAGCAGACGCGACGCTTTTCAACATCCTCCTTGACGCGCACGTCCATCGGCAGGCCCTCCAGCTCCGCCTTGGTCATGACGGAACGGATGTGAACGATCTCCGCCAAAGTGACGGACAGGCGATCGTCCCCCCGTTCCATCCAGGTCTGTTTGTCCATAAAGGACTTGTTCCATGGGCCAAGCGAGGATGTTGAACTGGCCGCTGCCTCGTCTGTGGGATTTGTACGCTCCACAGGACTGCGCTTGGCCGGCTGCAAGGAATCGATGGGGGTTTAATATTAATATTAATATTATAAATACAATTCTAATTATATAAAATCTGGATGGTTTGTCCAGACTCACCTCCTTATTGACGTCATCGGATTGTCGGGACTCTGGCCGCGTTGGCGGCATGGAGTGCGTCTCGTCCAGATTGCTCTGACAGCCCACAATGGTGTGTCGGCGCAGGGAGGCGCGTCTGGATTCGCACTGAGTGGCCAGGTCGTAAGCTGTCAATGAGAGGGAGCAGAGGAGAGGCCAGAGCCATAAGTCAGGGTCAGGACACAAAGGATGAGCTATGTATGTATGTACATCCATGTGCAAGTAGGAGAGAAGGGGGTAGGGACAAGGAGGTGTGGCGGTGGTAAATGCTAAATGTTAAATGTGTCGACTGGCAGGGTCAAATGTTTATTTTAAAAAGCAAACTGTGAGCTGTGAGATGGTTCTGTCATGACTGAGCTGACTTCGAGATGCAAGTTCGAGGGACAATATCATGCAAGATGGCAATGCATATATCTTTTATCTTTAGCAAATATTTACATTCCAGGGCCGTGTCGTAGAACCTGTGGTACTCGTCCTCCGTGAAGGATGGCTCTTCCGGAGGCGCCTGCCTCGCTGGCTCCACTGGTTATCGGCAGCATTTGAATTTTGTTCGTTTTTTTTTGGTTCATATTTAATTTAATTTAATTTTTTTTAAGCGTAATTTGTTGGCATTTTGAAGTCAAAAGTTGGAAATATGTTATTACGTTCTTGGCAAAACGAAAATTAAGAGAAAGCTACTCGGGGTGCGTAATATAAAAATAATACTAAGACTTTGTTTAGGTTTTCGTTTATTTTTTACAAAATATATTTCGAGATTATTTGTTGTATATTTGTGTGTGTGTGTGTGTGTGTGCGTGAGTGGCTCCTTAACCAAACGCCAATTTGTTGTTAATTGTTTAACTTTTCTGCCCACACCAAACTTTGCATTTTTGTTACTGGTGTTTTTTTGTTCTTAGTGCTATTTTTTCTTGTTTTTTTTTTGGAAACTAAGTATAATACACTCGATTTTGCAGGGGCTTCGCTTGCTTCTTACAAAATCATAAAAGTTAATTAATCGATATACATAAGTTAGCATTTTGTGTTCACAGAGAAATACAATCAAATACCTTTTTTTGCGAAATTAAGTTTGTGTTTTTGGTTTGTTTTGGTTTTTTGTTGTTGTTGTGGAAGGGAAAGGAAAAGTAAGAAATAAATATAAAATAAATTAAAATCATAAAAACTTAAACCATATCGCAGACAGTCAGTTGTAATCACCTTAAGACAGTTTTTAAAATTTAGTTTTATAATATTTATAAAGCTAAACTTTGGCTGTCTTAGGGCTTTTTTCAACTTTCTGTCTGCAATTAAAACCCATAAAAATATATATATTAGTGCAATGTCCATTTGCCATTTAAACTAAAGCACAAAGTAAACTGGCTTTCGGTTTTAAAAGCGACCAAAAAATATATATGTTATGACAGCAAAGCAACTCGTAAAAGTGCTTAATTAATTAGTGAACAGCTAGTTAATTTTTTTTGCGTTAGAGAAAGCTTTTGAAAAGATAAGTTTTATTTAAAATAATAATATTAAAAATTTGGGAGATTTTTTAAGGCAACTTTTGAATATTTTTATGATATTTTTGTAATTAAAAAAATTACATCTTAAGCTTTATAATTCTTTTCAATATGTAAAAATAAATTAAAGAAGAAAGAAATTAAGAAAAGAAAGTAATCTTTAACTTATGCCTTTCTTTCTTAGGCTTTTTATAATTTCTAATCATTTTTTAAATATTATTTTATTTAATTTTTTACAAGATTTCCCTAATTTAGTCTTGTAATATTTCCTTTTTTTAAATAAATAAAATATCATTGAAGAAACTCAACCGAAACTGAAAGCCTACTTTAAGCCAAAGTTATTAACTAAAATATGTGCATATTTCTCAATCGAATCATTCTCGAATTACAATCGATTCGACACCGACACCGCCTTTGTACTTTGTGCTTTGTTGCCTTAGCGCGTGCTCTGCCCCAGTTGTCCCAAGTGCGGGTTATAGTCAAGTCATAGAGTATAGAGGTTGCCCAATCGCCGGTTAGAATCGGATACTCACTTGTGCGTCGGGGCCGCATCAGCGACGCCGTCTCCCGAGAATCTTGTCGCGCCTGGCTGGCCACCATGTAGCCACCGATCGGATATGGCGGCATCTTGGGCTGCGAGCAGCGGTGCAGTTCGGTCAGGTGAGGATACTGATTATGGTGGTGGGTGGCCGCTGTGGAGTGGGAGCTGCTGATGCTGGACTCATCAAAGAAGAGCTCGTCGTCCTGGAAAAGCAAGCATAATTAAAACAAATTCATTGGCTGCTCTGGGATCTAGGAAACTCACCTGAAACTTGGAAAAATCCACTTTGATGAGCCGCTGTCGGGATCGCGACAGCGTGGAGTTTGCACTTGGAAGCACTGCAAGAGAGATGGATCGAGGAAGACAATAAGTAAGAGTTGTGGGAAAAATTAGATTTACAAGATTATCTAATGAATATCATTGGGTAATGGAGCAGCCATATACCATCCCATTCATCACAAAAAACCGGCTTTTCCAGCCCCTTTTCTGTGCCGTGTCATTGCGCCATTAGAGGTGACATGTCGTGGTTCTTGCTTCTCCTGAAGTTTCAAGTTATAGCCGCTTCGGTTCATTGTTTTTAGTTTTTAGTTTTCTTGTCCAGGGGCTACTCCACTCCACCAAAGACCGTTAAACCCAACGCACTTAATGGTTCTACTTATGAAACCGCGTTTGCCGCTTGTGCAATGCCGCCTGGGAAACTCGTATTTGCAGTGCCAGAGTTCGCTTCGCTTTTATGCAAGTCGAAGCTTTGCTCCATAATAACTGCTACGTGATCCGGCTGGCGGATGACCACCGGGGGCTACACAATATCTATCTAACTTTAACTACTTATAACCTTTTGCCCCGAGGCGAAACACGAGAGTTTTAATTAAATCGATTAATTACAGGAAGTCGAAAAATCTAGATGGAGAAATGTAGTTTTAAGGGTTTCAAAATAGTTTTGAAAGACTTAAAGTAGGATAGTACTGTGGCAAGATCAAAACTTAATATTATTTGTGTAATTTTAGCCAACAGATTTCATGTTGTTTTGATGTTTAGATTATTTTATAAGGAATTTGTCTTAAAATATATATAAAATATACTTCTAATAGGTAGACATGAGACGAGATATTTTTGTAAATAATCTTGCTTATATTTTTAATGCAAAATAAATGCCCAAGTTGAAGTCAGAAAAGCTTAATCTACCTTCAAGGTTTTCCCTGAAATACTTTTAAGACAACTTTAGACTTTGAAAATCATTGCCTTGTAATCTTTTGAAATTGTTTTCTGTTTGAAATCAAAATAAAATCAAAATCTTAAACAATGCAATATGGTTACCATGTATTATTGAAACACCTTGTGTCTTGTTAAAAATAATGAAAAATATTATGCTGGTAATTCTTTTAAACAAAGCCTTAAGCAACCACAAAAAAAATGTCCAAACTTTGTCAAAACATTGTTAATATTGTGCCATATGGTTAGTCGTAAGTTAGAGCAATCAATCTTCTTCACAACTTGCACACACATTTTCCTGGGCTTTGTTTCTCTTCGTGGCTCTAATGACTCCGGCTTAAAGCCAAAGTCATATCTTGACGGCAATTACCGCAGCCACTGCAGTTGCCTCACCGAGTGGCTCCTTGAGCACAAAGAGCACTGCCTTTGGGGAAGTCTGCTGCCCCCCCCGAAGGCCCGAAATGGCAGGGCCTCCCACTTTTGGGAGGCGGCCTGAAATCGAAACCAGGTCAAAGCGGAGCGAGCGCGCACATTCAACAATGGGGAAAAGCGATATATTGTTTTTCCCTTTTACGGAGTTTTGGGAGGCTTTTTGGGTTGACTACCTTTTGATGACTTGATGGCCTGACGCGGCTTGGGAGTTGGCGGATTATTGGCTGTTGCTCTGGGCGCCGCCCGAGGCGTTGGCTGTGGCTGAGGCTCCTCCGCATCCGCATTCTGGCAGGGATTGCTTTTTGGATTGTTACTAAGCCCGGATATGGTGCTGGCGTTGATTGTTGCTGGTGCCGCCGACTCGCCATCGGAGCCGCAGTAGAGAGAGGCGTCGCTGCCAATGTCCACCAGGTCGGCTTCCCGGAGGACATGATGCGACCGGAAGACAGCGGCCGCTGTGGAGCGCTTTGCTGGCCGGGCATCCATTTCCACACACACACACACACTTTTAGCTCACAGCAGTTGCATTTGGGCCTATCGATCCGGTGACTGAAGTCCGGAGAAAGGAAAACGGAAGGCAGCGGAAAAAAGGGAAGCCACCCTCGTCTCTCTTAATTCACAGAGGGTTGATGATAACGGTGGCCCGACTGGCCGACTTTGTCATAGTTTTAACAGTGTTTCTCGCTTGATTTTAACTTGATTTCAACTCGACTTCAACTTGGTTTTTTCTTTGTTTATTCTATTTATTTAACGCCTGCCCGCTTTCGTTTTTAATTTCACTTGGCCAAGAATGGTAATGGCTAAGAAAAGCGAGGCGTCTCGAGTGAAGCTCAGTTCGGAACTGAGAGCCAAGAAATGTGGCAGCTGTCAACTCAACCTCGTTTCGCGCCTGCGCTTCAAGTCGCTCTTACCTGCTCAGGGAGAGGCAGAGAGAGAGCTTGAATGTTTTGTTTTGACATTTAACTCTATAAAAAATTGTTGTTTTCAGTTGTTGCTGTTGTTGCGTGGGTGATTTATACGTCACTCTTGAGGTGATGACGTCGTCGGCACAGTGACAAGGACGTACCAATAACCACACATAAGGATGACTAAGCGCATGAAGTTTCCCCGCGAGGATATTGCAATTAAAGTTTCATGAGAGAAAGGAAAATTGAATAAAGTCGAGGTCACTTTGGGGGTCAAGTTACAGGATAATTTTATATATATTCCTATTTAAAAACGTTTTTAGCATTATTTCTTATCATGCCTGGCCTATAAGTATGCTTTGTTTTTCTTTTACTTTTCTGCAAAAGCTTAAGTCTTCGCCTGTGGGTTAGGCTACACAATTTCTTGTTTAAGTTAATTGTGTTAAGTAAATGTAAAAAGGAAAGTAAAAATATTATTAAGTTAACAACAATGAAGGCTTTAAAGAAAAAGGTAAAAAAAATAAAAGTGTCTAGCAATAAAGTTAAAATAAAGAAAATAAGCTATTTGATATTAATACATTTTTGATTTTTTTCTTTTTAACATAGATCTAATACAAAATATATTTAAGAAAATATATTGATTATAAACCTAAAGAAAGGTTTCTTCCTCTAATTAAAAACATTATTTTAATAATATTTGAGGATCTACTCAAGATCTTTTTGAGAATTTAAAACCTTAAAGATTTTTTAAACCCTCAAAAATTGTGCCTTTCTCAATTTAAAGTACTTAATTGTTTTTATTTATTTTTTTAATATTTTAAAATCCTTTTTTTAAACAACAATCGTGCTTTGTAAGACTCTTTAACTTTTAGAAATAATTTTAATATTTTTAGTTTTTCTTTTTAAAATAAACTGATTGGTTGTTGATTTACTTCAAAAATGGAATAATTATTTTACTTTAATTTCACATGAATAGCCTCTAAAATAAGTATAAAAAAGAATACAAAATTAAAATAAAACCTTATTTTGGGTTCGTGGTTTTAATGTTGAAAATAATGCCAAAGTCTGAGGAAAACCAGATTCCCAGCCGGAGATGGAGATGGAGGCCCCAAAAAGACAAAAAAAAAAACATTCAACATCCAACAATAGCAAACATAGTCTGAGGTGAGGTTGTCGTGCCTTGGCTTTTCTTGGCTTAAATTGTTGTTGCTATCATGGACGTGTTTTTGTTGTTGTTGTCGTCGCGTTGTCGCTATCTTTGTGTGTCACAATTTTGCACGCTTCCTCCGGCAGAGTATGAGGAGGAGATGCGAGGGGATATGGCGGGATTGCGATTGAGGATTGGCGATTCGGGATGGTGAATTTTTTTTTAAAACATACTTTCTCATTATTTTCAGTATCTACTTTATTTTGGATTTTATTTTAAAAATTTGGAGTTTGAAAATTATTTAAACTGAGGTACCAGATTTACTCGGATTTCTGAAAAGCAGAAGTCTAATATCACTCTTGATAAACAAAAATGCTTGGGGATTAGTGTCTAACTCTATGATTTTTTAAAAATATTTTATTTATTATTATTTTTTTAAATTTTTATTCAAAGAAATTCCAGTAAAAATAAACATATTTTCAAGGCCGGATTTCCTATGTATTTTTTTTCTGTGTATGGATTGGAAAATGTTTTGCCGTTTTTGATCTATGTTGGCATGCGCGCTGCTGCACCCGGCAAACACACACAAGCATGCCATCAAAGAAAGAAAAAGAAACAAACAAACAAACACAATGGGGCTCCCCCGGCGACAAGTGCAGTGAAAAGTCTTGAGGCGGGCAACGAGTTTTCCTCAGCATTCTCTCTTTTTTCTTCCTCTTTTCTCCTGCTTGGCGGGCAGGAGACATCGGCTGTCTATATACAACACACACACACACTCGGGTGACAACAATTTATGGTCGGTTGGCGTTTAAAATTTTGGAATCGATGACGACGACACACCGCCGAGCCCAAGCGATGGACACCCGCGAAAGATTAGAGGCGGCATCTATTTTTGGAAGTCACTGTGTCCCAAGTCCATTTAACGATTGACAAGGGGCTTGGTTTTGAGTGGTTGGAAAGGATAAAAAAAAAATATCTTTTCTACTCTTAAATAAATTTAAATTTAAATGAATCAAAAACTAAGTTTTCAAAAGCGAATTCAGTTTGATATGCCTCCCAGAAGTATGCAACGATTTATACAAACTAATGACCGTATGTTTAATGGTCTGTATTCTTTTACAGTTTTAGTTTTAGCTTCAAATATTCTAAGAAATTTTTAATATTCTTCAACTTACATCTCTGTCTCAGTGTAGGCGCTTCTGGGGGTGTGATCTGCTTGAGTTCCTTGCCCTTCCGGATGGACTCCATCAGCTGTTCGCGGGGCGAGGGTGTGCACATGCGCGGCGGTCCTAATTGCCGTTCCGAGGCCTGTCAAAATTTAAATACAAATTCGAAAAACAAAACACTCAAGGTTAGACAGTGTTCTATTAAAAACTAACAATTTTTATTTGAAAGCAAGAAGGCAAGTCAAGGGAAATTAAATCAACGTTTAAAATTTCACACACTGCAAGCGCCAAGTGGGGATTTTGATATTGAATTGGACTTCAAATTGAGATTCATATTGAGAATATACTTTGACTTGGAATTTGTTGTTGGTTTAGCAGGGGGTTTGGGAGCTTTACACACCTTCTTGAGCGGCGGTCGTGACCTAATGAACTCCAAGATCATGGCATGGGCATCCTTTTTGACGCGCGGCGGAATATCCCCATTCACCATCACTTTGCGCAGCTGATATTTTCTGTGGATAGAGATAATAAATTAGAAATTATAAACTAAAAAGGGTAATCTTCTCATTAACCATAGTTTCCTGAAGACTATTTTATAGGAATAACATAATTAACTACGGATATTATGGTAATAAAAAAGTTACTTTAATGTTTATTAAAAATGTATTATATAAATAGCTTATAAATCTGTCTAGAGCCCTGCTTTTAATTTAATTAAAGCATATAACCACCGACCCCATACTCACTTGGCTCTTATGTCCCCCATGAGGATCTCGTAGGGCGTCAGCTCGAACTCGATGGGTGTGCGTTCATAGTTGCTCTTCTTCAGGCGAACGCCTCGCCGCAGTTCGTCGATCACCTGGACCCAGAAGCGCGCCTGTCGGGGGAGAGAGGATTGGTTAGTCAATGGTTTATAGGTAGAGACAAGGAGAGATCTGTGAGTGGAAGAACATGCAGCATGCTGAACCTACTTGCAATGCCCTCCACAGCTGCAGCTCGTGCTTGAAGCAGGAAGAGACACAAAGATATAAAAAACGACAAACGGGCCGATGATAAGTCAAGTGAGAGGCGCATTTCACTTTGGCAATTATTTTCATTTAATTAGCAAATAATTTAGACTCCCGCTGCGGCGGGCCAGGCCATCGCCATCGTCTGATAAATGCGAGACATGCCACTTGCCACATGACAAGTTAACTGTGCGTATGAGTAATGTGTGTTGAATGCTGCGCCGCTGTGGCAGCAGGAAGACTATTTAGCACACAATGGAGCACACATTATACATTATATCCATCATATATGCCATATGTAACAGTGATCCGCAATTTCAATTTCACTTTCACTCTTTCCTGTTCCTGTTCGAACCCCAATTCGGTGGCCATGCATTTTGAGACACCTCATTAAACATGCAAAACGGCAAAGGGAGTATAGGGAGTCCGATTACAGCCTCAAGTTGAAGGCATCATCGATGGCAGCACACATGTGTTTTGACACAATCGTTTCATCGCCAACAAGCCGCAAAAGTTGCATAGACAAGCAAAAGCGCTGAAGATGCCGCGCCACGCTTCAATTACCTCAGCAACATCGACACACCTTTGTTGTGTGGCAGCAGCAGCAGCAGCAGCAGCAGCTTCCGGAAGAGTTTTTAGATGTTGTGCTACCTTAAACATATGCGTATCGTCTGGATTGGAAAATTAGCATACGAAAGCATTATCATTTTGGCAGGCAGCTAAGCGAAACACATAGACTGCATGTCTGCGGATGCGATTGCCTAACGAAAAAACTAAGAAATATCTATAAGAAACTTCAGCTGATTTTCCAGAGAACACCTTTTTCCACAGCAACACGTTCAAACAACGCAAAAAGTACACAAGAAATACAAGAAAAACATAGCGAACCAGCAGAATTTCCGCCATTCCAGCATAATAACCTCTTTGAAGTCTCGAAGTCTGTAATGTTTTACTCACAACAACCAGTTTGCTGTGTGACATTCTGAAGGCTGTTGGCTTCCAAGAAGACACGATAAAACGCTGACTAAAGACACACTTCTTGCTTGGCAGTAGCCGAAAATAAAATAAAGAAAAGCGTCATAAGAAAACTGAAAAACCCCTCTCCAAGCCAAAACAATAGACAAAAGAGAAGGAAGAGAGAATGCTTATCGAAGAACTAGAAAATGATAAGACCATTTAATCAAGGCCCAACACAATTGCCTGAAATTACGTTTTGCAATACCTAAAACACACACACAAAATAAACACACTTTATAAGATATACTACTGCATATATGTCTATATTGTTCAGTCACCTGTCTGGCCAATTAATTGGCCCATTCGCGAGGGCTGCGCCTTCTTTAATCCCCTGGCTTTCAGCACATGCAAATTTATGGCCACAAAAAAAAAAAAAAAAAATAAAAGGGGGTGTGCAAAAAATGTAAAACAAAAAATATTTATGGTCTATTTCATGGCTTGAAGAGCACAGGTCTCAGTCCCGTATGAGCAAATATTATGGCATATGATGTGTCGTCTATTCCACACGCAAAGGTCTCTTATTTGTCTTTGTTGCGGTTGTTTTTTTCACTATCGGACATGCAAACACTGCCAGGGAAAAGCCAAGCCCAGCTAAAGAAAAATTGAATTCAGTTACGATACAAAGATTACTTATTTCAATATATATTTGTTTAAAAATTAAGCTTCTTTATGAATTAAATTTAATTGTATCAAAAAGAATGAATAATAATACTGTTATAACAGCAGTAAAGTTTATTTAACAAAGCTGCTGGAACAAAGAAAGAGTTGATTGAATTTAAACAATTAGCAGTTCATATAAATAAAGATATACCTGGAATTAATAACCACTTATAAATAATTTAAGCAAACAAAATACCTGCTGAAATAATAAAAAGCGTATGCATTTCAATTAGGAATTCAATTGTGTTTTACAGGGATTAAATTGCAGAATTCTTAGTTGCAGTTAGAAGGTGTTTTTGTATCAACTATTTTTCCCGAATTAAAACCTCTTAAATTTCCAACAATTGTAAAAATTTCTAAACTTACAGCATGACTCAATATTAATATACTTTATTCCCAAGGTAAGGCAAAAACCAATTATGCAAATAAATGGCAAAAAACGTCAAGAGTTTGAGGAACCCAACGCCTTATCAACTATTTCTGAAACCAAATTGGCAAACTGTTCTTTGACAGTTCTGGGTTTCGATCTGATTAAAGCACACACCTAAACACACCTCGAACGGTAAAAGCAAGTCTCTCTAGTATACGTTTTCACGCGAATAGTAAATATTGAAAAGCAGAAACAAAAACAAGAGCAAATTTTGGCTTGCGTGTCTGGCCAATTTGCGTGTGTGTCTCAATGAGTTTCGGAGGTTGGATGACGACCGACGTGGGGCTGATGTGCTGATGGCAAGCTCTCCTGCCTGCGAATGGCCTCGACATATACGCCAAAGGTCAGAGCGAAAACCCACAAATATATTGATGATATATGTGCGCCCATTAAAATAGCGTTGAACTCATTAGGATGATGGCCGAAATGGAGGCGACCACCGCGGGCCAATTATTGAAATTAAAAGTGAATTTCATTTGGCAATGCATGAAATAGTTCACTTTTTTATACTATATACACCAACTCAAACTCAAACAACTACCCAGGAAAAGCCCACCAGAAATGCTCGTGATCTGTCTGCGATAATGATTATGATGATGATGATGGCTTTTGGCCAAAAAGCGCCGCTCCAAGAGGTGCGCCAAGCAAATCGTGAGTCGCCTTAGCCACTGTTTTGGCCACTTCATAGGCCATTAATGGAGCACACACCACACACTCACACACAAAACACACGAGATGCTCCATTACATAACCACCTATCTCGGAGGAATAGATGGGAGGTTCCCGCAGAATCTTACCCAGTCGTTGAAGCCCAGCTTCGCCAGTTCTTGTTGCGTGGTGGCCGACGATTCCGAGGCCTTGATCAGCTTCTCGGCACCTGCTAAACGTTAATGTTTGTTAATTAATTAAGCAACATTTTCTCTCATCGTCCATCGATCACTTACCGTTGTTCAGGACCTGCTGCAGAAACACACGAAGCTCTATGGTCTCCGTCACGAGGGCTCTGCAGACGGCTTTATAGTGATTCTCTGGCAGGGTGGCTTTGATGTGATTTCTGCAGGTCTACAAAGGGAAAAGAGATAAGGGATTAAGTAAATTTTTTTGACATAAATAATATGTTAATAAATTTGTTAAATTATATTTCATCAAACCAAACAAATGCAAAGTTCTTCTAAGTTATTTAACAACTTAATTATATAAATAAAAACTTGAATAGCTATCACTTTGACCACAGCTACTTGTTTATTCTAAAAAAATACACTCGTATCTATTACATTTTTCATGCGAAAAAACCTCAAACAAATGTTTTCGTACCTTTTTTTTTGCGGTCTCAACTTTATTTTTTGTATGTACATTTTGCCTTGAGAAATTCTAGGAATACCCGCATAAAATACAAAAAAATTCTTCGTACCAAAAGAGCTAATTACGTTTCTGTCCGCTGGCAATTTCCTTTCACTTCTTATGATTATCGTAAATCATATCTCGAATATATAGACCAACTCAATTTATTCCGCCAAAACGAAATCTTATCTAACTGTGGACTGCCAGTTAGCCAGGCTAAAAGACAGAGCCAGAGGAGACGTGGGGAAAAAAATGCAAATTTATCCATATTAGCTGCAGATACTTTTCCACTTTTCGTTGGCGTGCTAGAAAAATCAGGCAAGTGGAAAATATCAGGGGCCTGTGCTCACTGTTGCCTGACAGCAATGTGTCAATTCTATAAATTGGCTCATTAGAGGCGAACCTCCCAGCCGCGGCTTCCCTTCTACTCCACCTCCTTGGAAACCAACTCAATCAGCAACGGTGTGAGGTTTATCACACGCCCCAATGCCAAATCGGGATTGGGTTTGGGATCGGGTTTGGGTTCGGGAATCCTCTCTGATCTTCAAGAGGAACATTGCTTTTGGTGGCTGCCGGGAAATGCGGAAAATTCCTAACGCGCAGTTGACTGTGAAATCAAGTGCAGCAGCGGTGAGGCGGATTCAGATTTCTGATTTACAGATCTGCTGCTGATTTCCTACGATTACGAAAGCGTTTGGTTTTATGGTTATTTCGGTTATTTAATACCATCGCGGCGGCCAGTGCAATCGAGCCCGGCATCGAATCGAAATTGTTTTCCAGTCGGTCGATCGGGCATCGCAATCTAAATACATAGAACCCGGGTACTGGAGAGCTTGTTTGCGGTTAGTTGCGCGATACAGATACATCCGAGTGCGGTGCGAGTGCGAGTATCTGCCAGATACTTTTATTTCTGCCCGCTTTGGTTAACTGTAACGTGCGCCAAACTAGTTTTTTTCCCACCAATGAATATCGAAATGTATCTACGGAGAGTCAAGTGCACAGAAAACAATGGTAAGATGGTGATTTTTCATTTTTAATTTCGCTTAAGTTGATGTTTTATCAGCGGATGGAAAAATCTCTTCCTGTAGGGGGATTTACGTGATTTTTACACATTTATGGAGAAAAATCTATATATTCAAGGGGATTTAAATATTTAAACAAATAATTTAAGTATTTCTTTTCTTTAGATTTTGATTTTTAATAGCGTTTCAGAGTGTATTTATTTATTTGTATAAGCCAGATCTGCGATCTGCTGGCAAATGGAGCGCCTTGGAGCCTGGTCAAAAGGTCAGATCTCGGCGCACCCCCCACAAGAAAAATAAATAAAAATAAATCCACGTTTCGATTCTGAGTCACTTTACCCGATCGAAGTTCGAATTTGCATTGGCTTGGTTTGGTTTCGGTGTTATTTTTTGGCACATCATGACACGACTCGATTGCAAATGTCAGATACGATCGGAGACCTACCTCGATAATGTGCTCTAGTTCTTTGGTGTCGTTGCGCTCCTCCTCGGAATCGTCGTCCCAGCGCTTGTCGCCCTCGTCGATGCCCTCGTCAATGCAATCATCGTCGGTCTCTGCAATGAATTCAAACCAAAGTTGCTTAATCGGGGTTACAAATATAAAGAGGAAAACGTGAATTTCAGTGATCCCCCGGCTTATTTTCATGGCATTTTATATATTTTTTGTTGTATTATAATTTATCAAAAGTCTACGTGAATCATGTCAGGCGCTCCAAGTGTAACCTTCATCTTGTTTTCGCTTGTGGTTGGGTGATAAAATGGGTTTTTGTTTGGGGGGAAGTCTGTACCCAAGCTAAGATTTTATAGAGGGGGAACTTATTTCAAGTCCCCTTTAAGCAGCTTAAGTGACTCAATTCGAGTTCTAAAATATGAGTCAATAATATATGAGAGAGAGCTTAGAATAATTACACAACAATTTGAAATTTTATTACTCTTTATGAGCAGGGAAAGTATTTATTTTAAGCTTGACTTCCATTATTTTAAATAATTTCCTACTCAAATCCTTATACTCACCATCTGCCGTCATAAAGTTAAATAAATTCTCCAGCTCCTGTGACATTTGGCACTCTTCGTCCTCCGGCAGATTGTAATCCAATGCGGTGTAAACGATTTCCGCCAGTTCGCTGATAATCTGCAACAATAAAAAAAGCACAAAATGCAAGATAAATATAATATTAAAGCGAAGTAAAAATAAAACTATAAAAATGCAATTGAAGGAGGGCCAAAGTTTAAGGCCGGCGCTTAAGTCATAATAAAAATTTGCAGCTTGTAATGCATTTAACCCCCCTGAAGTAATGGAGGACAACCTGGTCGACAAGCTCGGTTCGTTCAGGCAGTTCATTAAACTGACACTCTAATTGGAGTTTGAAGTTGACGGGGAGCTTCGTAGAAAAGCAGCTACAAATGCACATACAACCATCTGAGAGATCTGGGAAGTTGTAGAGTTCAGGTGCAACAACAGAAACACGAGAGACAACAGGCAGCGACAACTTCAAACACCCAAGTGCAGTGTCAGCTGCTGTTTCACTTTCACTTTCGCGTTGGCGAAAAAAAAACACTTGCCGAAAAAGCGACGACAAGGTGTTAAAACATCAAAGCCGAAGAAGCAGCAGCATCAGCAGCAGCCAACAGGTTAAATAATAATTCGCAGCCGGCTGCCATCCGTTTGGTTTATTTTTAGCTCCAGCCACTGAACCCAAACTCTCAGAGCCGCCTCTTGATCGAAATCGAAGTCCATATCCCCACGTGGGTTGATGTCGCCCCCGCAGACACACTATATAGTTTCTATATATCACAGTGCCTCCGGTTCACATGGATTTGTTTTTATGCTGGAAATTAAATGATAAAACATTGTGACAGCTGTGCAGTGGTGCTGAGTGGCATTTCCACCAGGGGCTTTTAACTGAAGACTGGAGACTGCAGACTGAAGAGGTTGACAACAAATGTCAGTTAAATGCTTCCAGCGTTTTTGCTTGGGCCCTTACATCATTTGCCGAAGAATTGCAGCTGCATTGCAGTGTTGCAGTGGCAAACTTGCAATCGCTGGTTGTCGCAGTTGCAGGCGTTGAAGGTTGAGAGACATAATTAATGGGAAAATTATGGAAGAGGTGGATGTCAAGTGGTGGCCAAGTGGGAGATGGAAATACACTATATAAGCTGGCAAATGAGAACTTAACTGGGTTCTTAAGGTTTTGTAATTTTGAGATTTAATTTAAGGGAATTTGATATTATATTATTATTAAGGTATTACATTCAATAAAAGCTATTCAAGAACCTGATTTACTACAGTTTATAGATTTAATTAACGATATATTAAACTCAGATCTATGATAGGCTTTAGGTAAGTATGTTAGGCTTTGTGGAATGTATTTAAGAATTTATTTTAGCGGCAAGTTTACTTTGACATTGGCTTATACCAGGGGATTGAGGTCATTGAGATCAAGTTATTATTATTAGAAGCTTGTGAAATAAAGATCTACTTGACAATGCCTTAAAAAGTGCTAAAAAAATACGGAGTTTTATATAAATAATAGATATATATTATAATAAATGTAAATGAAATTCTTTCAAAATAATAATAATCGTTAAATTTCAAAGCAGCTTAAATATTTTCCCTTTTTAAATGTTAATTTCAGTCGTTAAAACTTTAATGGTATAATTAAATTTAAAAGACGTATTTTTATACTTTTTTAATCCATTTCAACTTTTGTGAAATGGCATAAAATGTATTTAACTCTTCAAAATAACCTGTATAAGCTTGGCTTTTATATACTACATATAGAGTAATATTGAAACTTTTTCTTTGCAAAAATAATAAAAAATTAGCCTCATTAAGCTTTAAAGAAAATCGTCCACCTACTTATCAGGGTATCCCACACCTAGGAGCATAATTACAGAGTATATAGGTGGAAATCAGGCAACTTCTAAGCAGGAACCCTCATCATTATCCTCACATCTAGTTCCATCTTGGGAATTTTCCCATGCAATTAGCAAAGGGAACAGAACTGGGATCAAAAAGGGAGAGATACTACCTCTTTCGATTCGGAATGTGCATTGTGGACTGAGGCTGAGTGTAATATGCCAAAGGGGAACCACCATTGTAGCTATATATTTTTCTTTTTTGCCTCTACTTTGCATATCCAACAGAAGTAAATGAGACTGTATTTGTCGAGGGTGCGCCTGTTCCCAATCCGCCAATTCTCACCGAAAAGAAACTACTCCACGTGGCCTGAACTCGCTAATATCAAAGTTGAAACTACGGACATGCAATGCGGCAATTATAAGACAGTTGCCAAAGTTCCATTTTTGTTTTTGGCCAACAAAGGGTGCTACTCCGCCCCCACACCGAACTTGTCAATCTTGTCATTTTAACCTTTCGGCTGACCTGGGATTACTGGTTTGCTGGTTCTCATCGGCTACCGCCTTTGTTTTTTTTCTAACTTTTTTTTGGGGGCAATTGGGAAATTATTTTATAGCCAAGGATTGTCCACTGAGGTGTGAATATTTCAATGAACCTTGGTCGGGCTTAGGTGTGTCCATTCAAGTGCAAGGAACTCCAGCATGTTATGTATGAAAAATAATTAGAATATAAATACAATAATTTGCAGCTTAGAGGGAAATCATTATCCTATAAAATATCCTCTTAAGAATTTATCTTGGAATTCAAAATGCTAATGATATTGCCTTTGTTTCCTATTAGATTCCTGCTCAAAGCTACGAATTTTTTGGTTTTAGATATATATTTTCTAGAAGCCTCCTTTATGAGTGCCCATTGTCCCATGAGCATCTGTGGGGAATCATAAACTTCTTGTCGTCTCCATGCTGGCGATCTCTGCGATCTCCTACTGTTACTGCCCACTTGACTTGGCTGCCTTGGCTTCTTCTTTATTTTTTCTGTCGCTATCAGGATTCACATTTTATGCAATTGTTTCCATAGAAAGAATGCCGTGTATAAATACGTATAAAAGGTACAACACATATATATGGGCGAACAGCCGGCTTACAAGTAGCTCTCTCGACTTGGCCACTTCTCCTGGCTATCTGGTCAGTCGTGATCAATGTTGGCAGCAGCAGGAGCAGCAACAGCAACTGCAACATCGCGGCACAAAAAATGCGACGCCAATGTAAAGCAGCATAAAACGCTCGGAACTCTTTTTCTAGCCAAGGGGGAGACGAGGGGCTCCGAACAACGTTGACAAGGCGACGCTGGCGACAACGATTAAAATCTCTGGGGGACCAGCAAACAAAAACAAAATAAACAGAAAAGTACAAAAAATAAAAAACAAACAAAAACTAGAAGAGGCAACGAAAAAAGCACAAGACCAGATACAATGAGAACTGGAAATATTTTTGTAAATTACAATGCAATTTTATGCCACACAAAAGGTTCGGAGGTTCGGTTCGGATCGGTTTTTGCCTCTTGTTCCTATTTTTGTTTGCTCGGTTTGGTCAACCGTTGGGCCCATTAAGCACTTTACATTCAATGTGGCGAGATCAAAGTGGCTGAAATTGATGGCCGCAGATACGGAGATACTCGTACACGGGCTGTGCTGGCCTGACCAAGTCCAAAAACCTGGCCCACAGGCCAGTGGGTTGAAGGAAACCACATTTGCCGGCCGGAGAGCAGGTTATACAATTTTAGATTTTCCAGTTTCTTTTCGCCAGGTATCCATAGACCCGACGAGAGGTGGCTCAGGTGGCAGACGGGGGGGACGGGGGCCTGACGTGATAAAGGAGATGGCAGGGGACGCCAATGAGTATGCATGTTTGACCCAAATTCAAGACAAGAGTCGAACAACTGAGAGAATTATGAATATTATGAGAAGTGCACCTGGGGAAATATTTTAAAATAATTTTCTAAATAAATAATGGATATTATTCAGTAGAGATACAAAAAGTTTCAAGTTTAGGATGAGTTTTAGAGTGTTGTGTAGAACGTTTTAAATTTTGTTTAAATATATATTTAATTAAAATATTTATAATATAATTTTATAAAATATATATTATATAATCTTTGAGTAATTTGAATTATTAAGAATTATATTTGTATGGTTCTAATCTTTTATAATTTTGTCTTAAGATTTAATTTAGAATTTTAATATAAGTTTTTAAATTTATTTAAATTTAATAATAATTTTCCCATACAAAAATCTTTTAAAATCTCCAAAAGACAATTTCTTTTCTTACTGTACCTAGGTTAATTTTCCCTCAGTGTACCCCCTCTATGCCATCTAATAATTACGTTCTCAGCTTATCAGGGAAGGTGTCGTCCCACCACTTAAAAAACGCTGTGAAAGTGAATGGGAATGAGAGAATCTGAATGTGAATCTGAATGCGAATGCTTGCTTGAATATGAGCTTAGATACAAAGTGCGAACGAGTGCGAGACGGTTCAGTATTTGTGGCTGTCTTGAGATAATATTTGCACATTTTGCCAAGAGACCGCTTGCAATTAGCCCGAGACATGATTATCGGAAAGGTGGTGCTTCCACCGTCCTCTCACCTGTCACCTTTTCCCCACATTTACCTCACACCCCCGCTGGTGTACTTTTTTATGTTTTGCTGCTTTCGTCGTCGTTTTCTTGTCATTTGTTGCCTGCGCCTCGACGTTTGCCTCGGAAACTTTTGTTTGTTTCGGCACAGACGTGCGAACTGGGTTAATTTTCTATACCTATATAGATATAGATATATATATATAAAATACGGGTTTGTATGTGCCTATGTACTATCTGCCGGCGCTACAATTATTGTTTATGTTCATGTAGAAAACGGCAATTCACACGATTCGCAACGCTCTTGCCAAAGAAGCAACAAGCTCAAATTGTGAATAATAACAATTTCCCATTATTTTCTTTCTCTGTTGATACCATAAATAAATATATATATACGAATGAATGGACAAAAGAGGCCAATCTGCGATCTGTTCAGAACTGATAAGACAATTATAATGTTGGGAATGTGGAACGCAATGAGTGTTACCAGAAACCCCCCAGAGACCCATATATATATGACTCATAACAAGGATGGATAATAATCAAGCAATCAAGCATAAATAATTGGTTTTATATAGGTTTAACAACTAATATTATTAACTTCAAAATGTTTCCTATATTTTTTTATAGTGATCGTAGAC